AAATTATGCTTTATTTGGGACCTATGCCCAGAGTTTCTGATTCAATAGGTTTGGGGTATGAGAATTTGCATGTATAACAATGTCTCAAGAGATCCACTGGCCTAGAAAATAGTAGACATTTGATAAAAGCTAGCTACTTGTTATTATTTTAAGAAAGATGGAAATGTAACTATGAGTGAAAACTCATGAAAATCTGTAAACCCCTTTAGTAATAATCTTTTAATACAGCTAAATGGCATGTCACTAATGTGTCTGCTCAGAAGCATACTTCTCCATGAGATTGAAAAGGATAAATCTTAATTAAGAATCCCAAGAATGCCAACGGCAGAGCCCACTGTGAAATGCTCTCTTGGCAGCGTGCGAAAGCACATGCACCTGTTCTAACTTGAGGGCTCTTCAGGTACACAATGAGATGTTCCATATTTATCTACTTTTACCTTTTTTTGTATTTTTTGTATCTTCTATTTCCCAAAAAGGATCTGCTGCTTAAATACCCTTCTAATGAATTTTGAAAATCTATATATTCCCCTCACACATATTTAAATAGACATTTATATTTCTTCATCATAAATTTTGAAATTACTCAAATATTGATGATTTCAAATAAAACACATTGTTCCTTTAAGTGTATCCAATGAATCTAACTATACACATTATGCATTTAAATATACCTGAATAAGCTTTTTAAAAATCAGAAATTTTATTGCATTCTTTTTTTAAAAAAATTTCTATCTCCATTTTATTTATTTCATATAATTTTATCACTCCATCATGTATCTTTTTTAAGAAAAATGTGTAAGCAAAGAAATTGACTTTTTTATTTTCTATGACAATTACAAATGGAATAAAACATAATTTGTATAAATACTGATACTTATTAAAATTAAGAATAAAATTTTATTAAAAGTGCATTTATTAATGAAGTGATGATTCGCTTTCCCCAATTATTCTATGTATCAGCAAATGGGTATTACTCATTGCTGAAATAAAGCTGAGTTTTTGCATTAATTCTATTCTTATTTTTTAATCTTTATAGATGAAAATATTGAGAAAGTTTGTTCATATATGTGGAAGTACATGGAATTTGAAGAAATTTTGTTTCAGTATTCTTTTAACAATGCAACTTAATTATTTAAACTCCTTACTTGTTTTTCAAAACTCACACTGTAGAGTTTATCTTCAACAATTATTTTAATGATTTATAATCTGACAAATTAATTAGTGCCTCCTTCAATTTTGTTAAAAGCAAAAAATAGAGAATTGCTATTAAGAAAAGGATGTCTTGTGTAGCGTCATCCACTATCTCAACTACAGTATTTGTAATGATCTCTTTGTATCCAGGAACTTTTTACACACTGAGACAATACTTGCAGGATTCAGGAAGAGGGAGAGGGATGCCTGTATATTGCCAGGTAGGACACAGCAATCATTAAATGGAGGTAATAAAGGAGACTGCAGGTGGCGAACAGATCAGTTTTAAGAAAGAGGTCAGAAGGAAGTTAAAGATCCAAAAACTGTTTTAAAACTACTCATGTCTACATGCCCCTCAGATACCTTGCATCTACCCATAGAGGCATAATACATTGTACCCCAGGAGGACAGGCACCCTGGTTTGAAGGCCTCTGATGCCTACACAGGAAGGTTAATAAAATGAAAGATGAAATAAAACCAAGGAGACAGAAGGAAATTTGCTTAATAAAGGATCACTATATAATGCAGCATCAGATTTAGCTCAGAGTGTTCTAGTCTTACTCTATACACATATCACTTTAAACCCCTTTGTGTCTTCTCTCCTTTCCCTCATTCTAGAAAAAATGATTTCAGTTTAGCAGCTACTGAGAAGAAGCTTTTGGATTTGTTCTGTCTGAGGAGAGGATCTTCTAGGAGTCTGAGTCCTGATGGGATCAAGCGAAGATATCCCAATTCCTGGGAGAGTCTCTCACCGGTATTCCTCATCTTTGTCCTTTCCCGAAACAGTAGATGTGAGTCTTGGTAATAGGTGTGTTTTTTCTCCTTCAATTAGGGCTTTTTCCTTCCTGGGTCACACAAAGAAAACGTATTTCTATACTCCCTCTTCTCAGTGTCAGAAACTCTACTGTAATTGTGTGACGAAGAAAGTGGAGGTCTGGGAGGAGGGAAAGGCTGGATTTTGAGTGGTCTCAGGGGGACTAAGAGGGTCTTTGAAGAGGACATAGTAGCCAAAGGATTAAAAACTAGAACTGGTTGAGGAAAAGTAAAGACACCTAACTTATTCTGTGGCATTAGAGTTTTATAAGTGGAATGATGAAAACTCATCTGACTTGAGTCACAAACACTCGGTTGGTTGCCTTATAAGAGTGGTTTCCCTAGAGCCTGGAGGCCTGTATATTTGATGGATTAACTAGAATAAAGAACTAGGTATGATATGAAAAGACTACTTACCCAAGGGATGACATAATTAATAAGCATATTTAAAAGTATTTAATTGAGGGGGTCAAGAGTATGATACCAATTGAAGCCA